TTTTAGCGCCGTGTTCCACATAAAATCAGTTTGAGGTCAGTAAGCACAACCAGAATTAATACATAAGGCGCACTGTCGATTTTGGAGAAAATTAAAGGATTTTAAGTGCACCTTATAGTACGGACAACACGGTAAGTGCAATGAGGAGTGAAAGAAGCCATTTACGTCCACTGTGAGCGACCATCTTTGAACAGAGGCGGTGGTTTACGACACCAACTGTCTGCCATCTATAATCCAGTTTTGAGTTCCCTTCCCAGACGCCTTAATGCCCACTCACATCCTGGGCCATCTGACCTCAGGAAATCACATGATAGGGTGGGGCCAGGTTTCATAATGAGCTCACCCAAAACCCTGGCTGATTGTGACCCACACCCATTTTCACACCTCGGCTCATGTGATTAGATAGAGGATCATCAGGGGGTCCTTTGTCCGTCTTTGGGGGGGAAACTCCCACTGTGTTTAAATCTGGGACTCCCCACCAGTTGACCCCTTTAGAACTGAAGAAGCTTCTCGGATGAGAGGTGAAACGTCTTCAAGCAACTCCTTGAAGCTCCTTAGACTACGATGACCTGGATGACTGAGAACCTTCACAGACACGGTAAGTGCAATGTGACACAGCATAAGAAAACCACACAAAAGTCCAAAATTTTTGTTTTTACTTTATGTTTCCTTAAACTTTCAAAAGTTCGAGATGAACATATAAACACACGTGCAATCAATCTGTAGTTTGATTGGGTTTTTTTTCAACTTGATGTCAGACTGTGTCCTCTCTTTGAATTACTGTTGTTAGTAACAATGTATATAGATAAACAGAGACTTGTAGCATGTTCGTGAATAACATCTCATGTGAAAAAACTCCACTGGGTTATCAAGAAACTGTTGATCGATCACAATCCACACGGCATTATCACCAAAGGCCAAAGTTGGAAAATTCACTGGCATCACTAAGGGAGCAGATTTCACTGGTTGACTACCTACACGGAGACTATTTTCACACCTCATTTGCCATTTCTAGTATAGATTATTATAAATCGCCCACACATAAAGGCTCACAGAAACACATCCACACTTATCTGCACACACACACACACACACACACACACACACACACACACACACACACACACACACACACACACACACACACACACACACACACACACACAGAGTGGTCAGATGTGGCTGTACTGTGGACAGACGGACAGATTCAGAGATGGGTAGATGGGGAAAAAGATGCTACACTCCAAAATATAAAAACTGAAGAGGGGGGGGAAATGAGGAGAGAGAAAAACAAAAAGTGGCACTGTAGAGATATTTTTACGTGAAGCTACTCAAAAACGAAGCACTGATAGCACAATGCAATCAACTAAAATGTCAGGGAGAAGTGGCCCGTGAGAGCAGATTGGGCCTTTAACTGCTCCAATCAGCAAATGGTTCTACTGGCCTGTCTACATCTGTCAAGAAAAACAGGCTGCACATAGGAAGAAATTGTGTGCTCTTGTGTGACAAAAGGAGACAGTGCAGACGCGTTGATCTGTGAGTATTTGTGAGAGAGGGTGATCTTTAAAGGGGTAGTGGAGAAGTTACTTGGCCTTTTCAGCTTCAATCACAGCCATTCGGTATGATGCCATTATATAAGTACTAGCGTTCTTCAAAAGAAGAGACAGCAGGACATCATTCAGCCTTTAAGATGAACGATAAAAATACTCTGGAGACTCGGCCTTCTTCATCGCCACGCCACTGACGTGATTACCATCATCACGACTTCAATTGGAGAAAATAGACAAAAGAGGTTATGGACGAGTAATTAGGAGAAGAAAAAACTAAAAGCAAAAGGTGAAGGGAAAAAGATTAAAAGTGTCAAAAGGAGAAAATGAAGAGCTATACTGAAAAAGAAGGAGCTGCAAGAGGAAGCAAAGAAAGAAGGAAAAACTGAGGAAGGAAGCTCGCAAAGACTTTCAAAAGACTTTTTTCTTAATGACTGTCAGTACGCCCTTATTTATGAGTAGGACTGCAAAAAAGGGGAAAAAAGGACAGTGTGGAAAGGGTAGCAGACAAGAGGGGGGAAAAGGATGGATACGAAAGGGTACATAGGGAACAAGAGCAACACAAGACAATGATAAGTTAAAGAAGACCATCTTTCCTTATGTAGGTTAATTGGGTGAGGAATTAAAGCAAAAAATATATAATTCAATCCAACACATGGACATTAACAATAAAAAGGGCTGCTAGCATATGAAATTATTCTTAATACACACACACACACACACCAAGTGACTGTGTCTTCCAAGTGTGTTTCTAATTATCAGTTAATTGTTATTCCCTATCATTAGGAGGGTGGGTTTTTAATTGTAATGTAGCCAAGCAGAAAGCCTACCTATACATGTGGGGGACAATTAGCCACCTCCATTAACCCCTGGTTAATTACAACCTCTATAGCTGCTTCCCACAGCACTTTTCCCACTGCTTTTTACCCCTCGTCTCTATCCCCAGGCCTTCATCCCCTTACTTTTTTACATTTCTGCCCTCATTTCATTAATCAGTGATCCCAATCATCTTTGATTGTTTGATTCAAAGTATCTGTTATGAATTTATTTTTTAAAGAAAAAAGGAAGAAAAAAAAAGTTCTGTCATTTGCTTTTTCAAGGTTACCATTACCCAGTTCATCCTCTATTTCATCCACTGACATGTTTCTCCTCTCCTTTTTCAAACCAACTGTTTTTAATCAGGGCTGAAATTATGAATGCAAACAGGCAACCAGAGCAAGAATAATAGGACTGAAAAATAAGCCAGAAATTAAATCTATCAAGGTCAGCAATCACGTTTAATATAACATTAAAATATTAACTAGAATTTGTACAAAAGGTCCCACTTCCTTGAGTTTTATCCCTGTCATTGAAGCAAAAGTTCACGTGTGATTTTATTCCCAGCAGAACATTGCTTAATAAGAATTGTGACATTGTGTAGGAAGTGTTCAAACACCTCGGTTTTAAGGAAAGAGAGGTTTTCCGATCATTAACTCATTGTCCCAGTAAAGGATTTTAAGAGTGCAGTACATTACCTTCTATCATGTTTTGCAGATAATTTGTACAAAAATCACAATGTGACCAAAACAGAACAAACCAAGAAAAACAAGGAAGTTGCTTTTCAATCTAAGTGGCTGAAAAGTAACTTCCTTTGAGATAAAGTAATCAATAAATAAAGATTAAAAGACTCAAGTCGCAAAAGAGCTGTCAAAAGCAGGCCACAGAGGATGAGCGGTGTATCTATAGCACTTCTCAGGAGCCTTAACACGGGCAAACACTTACGGTGGGTTAAGATAGACCTGCAACGCACAGTAGAGGAGCAGATGAACAGGAAGGAAGATGCAAAATATCAATTTATCAAACACATACTGACAATGATGTCTCAAGTCACACCTACTATGCTGGATCAACACCATGGTAGGCGATGAAGTGAACTAGCACAGCACAAGCATGACACTCATCGTCGCAACACGATGCTCACCATTATGCTATCTGCTTATTATATCGATATTTTGATGGCTGTAAGGTAGGTTTAGATGTTTCAAAAGAATGAAGCATCCATGCATGTTTAGATCATATGACTAAAAGCAAACGATGTCACACCCTTTCTTGCACTACTTTATAGCAGGTTTGCACAGACCATCAGTTTTCTTGGTGTTTCATCACATACTCAGTCCAAATGTATCCAGTTTTTATATTCTTCTCATTACCAACAATGCAAGATTTAGGTTTAACAAAATATTCTATTTCCCAGAAAATCTTGACACCACCAGCTGCCATATAGCAGTGAAAAAGTCCGACTGAATAACAGCTCGCTCCCCTAGCTGAGACTTTCTTAATGACCTGACTGCAGGACCTCGGGGTAAAAATGCAACACGCTTTACCTTCTCTCACAAAATTGAAACAGGGAGCTGATAACGGTTGTTAAACGCACTCATCTGGCAAATTATAACTTCAACCCTTTTCCATTATTGGTTTATTTTCAGAGTGATGGCACAGTGATGATCTGTCAATGGTGATCTGTCAATGTCAAAAGGCAACTTGCTCTTTTTCACATTTCTCTGGCAATGACATAAAAAAGAGCAGACTACAAATCCCCACAGCAGCAAATTTTACAGGAATACCAAATGAAGTAGAGAAAGTCTTAATTGATGGCAAAACCCTGATGTAAATTTACAAGTCTAACTTTAATTAACCAATTAATAATCTAATTAACTATTTCACAGACTCCTGAAGTTTGCTAGAGAGTGAATAATAATGAAATAATTGAAAAGAAAATGAACTGGTTGCAACAAACAATGGACCAGGAAACAACATGTTGGCATGTGTCATCTATCCAGATAATCTGAACAATGGAAGAACTTTTTTTTAAAAACACACATTGCAATCCTTTGCACTCAATACATGAATATGTTATTTAAAAAGAGGCACGACTGTCAGTTCATGAAAACCGATAGAATAAAATAATGTGTTGTGTCTCCAACACAAGTTAATTTTTTTAAAAAAGGGGGTAAGGCAGAAAAAGATTTAAATGGCAGAAAATTCATGTCTCACAGACATGCAAATACACAAAGAAGTCAGGGCTAGAGATCGAGAGAGAAAATAGAGAGGGGTAACAATGCCCATTGTTCCATTAGAAAAGACAATAATGATTGATAAAATGAGGTTACTAAAGAGGACACAATGGTCCTTAATTGACTCATTAGGGAAAGAAGAGAATGAACTAATCAGCAGAGAATGAGTGCTGCAGCTAAACTGCTTGGTAAGCAAAACAAAAAGGCTTTTACTTTATTAAATCTAGGCAAAGCAATATTGTTTGTTCACAGAAAGAGCCCGTCAGGAGAAAAACAAAGCAGGTAAAAAGGAAGTGTGTGGAGTGTCTCGGTGTTTTACTTTTATTAATACCGATGCATTATTATATTTGATAGGACTCGTGGGTGAAATTGGGGAGGTGCTTGTGTGTACTGCGCATACCTCTAGGTGTTCCAGGATATATGGTGGATTCGTCATCCCCAGCCTTAGCATGGCACCTTCGGGAATCTCCTCCACCAGTCTCCACAGCAGCGTGGGCAGGTCTGTCCCTATGTCTCTACCGTAAGCACCGGTGTCCTCACTGGTCAACCAGATCTCGCACACTCCCTCTACAAAGGCACGCACATATAAACATGCTCATTAACCATAGTAAATTCATTAATTCATGTGAAGTAACAGCCACCAATAACCACCATCAATAATCAAAGCAGGCTGCGTATTAGTTCCCAAGTGGGAACAGTTTACAGTGACTGTGGGTACTGTTGTACTTAAGGGAATCTCATGTTAACATTTCACTAATTTGATTAAAAATAACCTTACCTACTGAAGGTAATGAATGAAAAACATGTAGGCTGAAACCTGAGGGAGATATTTGACTGTTAAATTAACTGAATCAAGCATTCCACTTTAGAGTTAATGTTTAGCTTGTGTGTGCGTGTGTTAAAATATCTTTTTCCTGTTTAACGACTTAGTTAAAATTATCCATGCTGCTTGTGCTAGGAGGATTTCGCTCTCCTCCACCACGTATTATCCAAAGTTGATTTTAGCGCTACATATTTGAAACTTTCAAAACTTTGGCTAATTTGAGGTCAGAAGTTTGCTGATAGCATTCTGCAAACTGCTTCACGGTCCTATTTTTGACATCCATACAGCCCGTTATGGCTGTCTGCTTAAAATAAGTCCAATTAACAATTACCGTCTGTGTTCCTGACTAATGAGTAACACCTGAAAAAGCTTTAAAATGCCCTTCGTAAAACTCTCTCCTGCTCTCGTAGCTATAATTCTCTGCGGGAGTCTCCTCACATCACATTATTTTCTTCTTCTTTAAGCAACTGTCAGAATAAACGTAAAAGTTGGTTTTTACTCTGTTTTACTTCCTTCTTCATCTGTTATTAGAAATACTAATGTAAATAGTTATGACAGCCAAGCTCAAGCTCCAAAGGTTCCATGTCATTATCTCACCTTCTCTCAGGTATCATTATTTCACTGCCACTCTGAAGCTTTTGTTGTCATTGCTTATATATGCCAGGTCTTTGATAGAAACCCCATTTATGACAGTCACTGACAAGTATTAAAAATACCAGTGTTGTAAACATGGATTGCAGGAATGTGAAGGTCAAATTCAGCAAGAGGGGGTGATCAACTGGCTTCATGCTAAATTAGAGCAACGCTCAGCGCTAGAGCTTAATGAGTGTCATTTGACTGCAGGTCCGGAAATGGCTGAGTGTCTGTTTAAGCTATGTGTTAAGACATATTATATCACACAGGCACACATAAACACATTTGCACTTGCAGGGGGACAAGTATTAGGAACACACACGCAAATGCACACAACCATCATTATCATTAGCTGTGCAGAGACAGACAGAAAGATGCATGTGGTCATACCGTTTGGCTAATTGGACAGTGTGTGTGTATGTGTGTGTGTATAGAGGTGAGCATGGGCCAGATAGATTAAAAATGATGACGGTGTAATTGTCTGGAGTCGAATTAAAGCATTTCCAGAGCTCATCGTCGACATTAAGAAGCACTAATGATTTCTGTCGCCAGCCGCGTCTAAAATCGCAATCAAATGCATCCATCAATCACACATGCTTAAATCACATCAGGCCAGCATGCACACTGTATAAGAATATATCAAGATAGCTTCAGTGTGCAATTAATCCGATGCATATTTCACCTTCGGACAATATTTAATAATAACCTAGTTCATTAAACTCCCTATCATTATTTAATTCATTCAATTTATTATGCTTAGAAAGTACGTTTTTAAGCAACGTGTCTCCTCACAGGCATAAGACCTTCCCGTCTGCTGCTGGCCACCAGACATCTTCAAACCACCCCAGAGGTTGAGCATATCTCATATAGACGTGTTATCTTCTAATATTAATTTGTAATGGTGTTTATTTACTGCAGTATTTACTGTATTTATTTAATTTGTCACATTCCCATCTTTTAAAGGTAAAGAAAAGCATTGATAGCAATTCCATGGACAGCTCAAATCAGCTTGTTTAGGCTCAGTAATACCAATGTCACTACCAAGTCAAGGACCTTGACTGCATCATCTACATACCAGTAATGACCAAAACCAGCACAATAACACTGTCCTTTTCAGCTTAACTGTTGCAGAAAGACACTGACCAAATGATGGCCTCATTCACAGCCAAACGTACTTTGAAATGACCTCTGAGCTAAATTGCTTCCTTCCAAAACAACATTCTTGTGATTCCAGTCCAATAATGCTGTACAAATAGTAAGCATATATATTGTTTGCTGTGAAATATTTCTGAATCCCCTGTTAATTATGTTTTGAGCAGGGTGATGCTTTGCAAAAGTCTCTTATGTTTACTCAAGGCCACAGCCATGCACAGATCTCCAGCTCAACTCAATAACCTACCCAGTAATTTGCCCTTTTGGCTTGCTTCTCGGTTCTTTTGTGTCAGGTGTGCCAACGGTGTTATTGTTGGCCAAATACAGAGAGGAGGCAGCTATTAGGAAATGCCTGCCCTTCTGTATCTGGTCTTATACAAGCTGCACATCTGCTTCCTCTGCTTTTGTTTACGTGTAGTGACGAGAGGTCACAGTGGTAAAGGGCTGACAATTGTCTCCTGTCAAGATGGTGCAAAAAAGTCACGATGTCTGTCAGGAGACATTTGTGAACCTAATAGCGCATTAGCCATTGCTTTTCATAATGTACTTGAAAATAATTTATATACAGTACGCCTAATTGCCATGATTATATTATCTGGCTGCGAGTGGTTTTACTTCAATAAATACTTTCTGGTAAGTAGAAAGTATGTACACTGCTGAATGGTTTAGGAAATACTGTTCTGAGCACATTTTGGCCTCTGATACCATTGAGAAATATGAATATTGATCATGTACTATCATTGTTTTATTTTTATTTTTTTTAAATATGGGAAGATGAATCCCATGCAACAAAGTCAGGAGGGACACATTTCCACTGTGCTTTGGCCTGTGTGTGTTGACATTACACATTAACATTTGACCCAAGTCCTTTTTCCAACCACTTTATGATGTAGTTTGATGTCAGAGCAGTTCCAAACACGGGTGGGTTTTCCTAAACGCTATTAACATTCACTTCATCCTGACAAAGCATAGCACAGACAGGGGAGTGAAAAAGCATGTCAGGATTTTAAAAAGTCCTGATATGCAAAACAAAATCAAACAAAGGTAAAACAAAACACTCAGTGAGATAGATCTGCACTTATGACCGCATTCCCAAACCTACAAGCTGAGAGAGAAAGCTTGACCACAGAGGAAACAGTTGCACGCATGTCCAAGTTCCATTCGTCTTTGTCCAAGAACAACACCATCAGTGCGCCTGAATAAACCATACAAAGCCATCATCACACCCGGTCTCGGTCAAATACTTGTTTGCTGTGTCTGGGTTTGCTTTTATGGACAAGTTTTCATTTTAGACTAAATGTAATGAGGACATTTCTATACTTGCAATTAAATTTTGGCTCTTATCCTCACAATATGAAAGGTGCTTTCTAGACACAGATTCTTCCCCATTAATCTGACAGCACCTCATAGTGTCAGCTGTATGCCTGAATGCAGCACTTGTTCAACTTTTTCATTAAAGTCAAAATGGACATCTTGCAATGGTACGGTGCTACGGTCTAGGACCGTACCATGTTGCATCTTTCAACATGGTACGGTCTGCAGGCACTCTGTAACAAGTATTTGCCCCCTTCCTAATTTCCTAGTGTTTTGCTTATTTCTCACGCTTACGTGTTTCAGATCATCAAAAAAATGTTAATATCAGACAAAAATAACCAAAGTAAATAGAAAACGCAGTTTTTAAATGATGATTTCATTGATTAAGGGGGAACAGTTATCCAAACCGCACTGGTCCTGTGTGAAAAAGTAATTGCCCCTCTTGTTAAATCATGAATTAACTAATTTTTTGGGAAAGTTGAGCTCAGTTTCACTAAACACACTCAGGCCTAATTACTGGCAGACCTGATGAATCAAGAAATCACTTAAATAGAACCTGTCTGACAAAGTAAAGCAGGCTAAATGATCCCAAAAAGTAACAAAGTCACTGAAATATCAGTCTGGAAAGGTTAACAAAGCAATTTCTATTTATTTTCTTTGGGACTCCAGTGAACCACAGTGAGATTCATTATACAAAAATGGAGAAAACTTGGAACAGTAGTGAAGATTCCCACGAGTGACCGGCTGACAAAAATTACTCAAAGAGCATATTGATGAGTCGTCCAAGAGGTCAAAAAAGAACCAAGAACAACTTTAAAGAACCACAGGCTTCACATGTCTCAGTTAAGGTCAGAGTTCATGATTCAACAATGAGAAAGAGACTGGGCAAAAATGGCATCCATGTTTCAAGGAGAAAACCACTGCTGTCCAAAAGGAACACAAAGGCTCATCTCATATTTGCCAGAAAAACATCTTGATGATCCCCCCTAAGATATCTGGAAATATATTCTGTGGACTGACGAGACAAAACTTTTTGGTTTGAGTGGCGTTACATTTGGCATGAAAGTAACACAGAAATGGAACATCATACCAACAGTAAAATGGTGGTGGTAGTGTGGTGGTCTAGGGCTGTTTTGCTATCTCATGACCTGGAAGACTAAACAGAACAATGAATTCTGATCTCTACCAAAACATCCTGAAGGAGAATATCTGGCCATCTGTTCGTGACCTCAAGTTAACATGCACTTTGGTTCTGCAGCAGCACAATGATCCAAAACACACCAGAAAGTCCACCCCTGAATGGTTTAAGAAAAAAACAAATGAAGACTTTGGAGTGGCCTAGTCAAAGCCCTGACTTGAGTCTGATTGACATGCTGTTGCATGACCTTAAACAAGCTGGAGGGTTTCACAGCATTAACAATGTGGCTAAATTACAAAAATTCTTCAAAGATGAGTGGGCCAAAAATCCTCCACAGGGTTGTAAAAGACTCATGGCCAGTTATCACAGTTGTTGCTACTAAGGGTGGCCCAACCAGTTATTAGGATTAGGGAGCAATCACTTTTCCACACAGGGTCATGTAGGTTTGGATTTTTTTCCACTTAATCATAAACACCTTCATTTAATTATTTCCATGACAGGCCTGTT